GGCAGCAGAGCTCTGAATATTACATTACATTACATTACATTACATTGCATTTAGCTGACGCTTTTATCCAAAGCGACTTACAATAAGTACATTCGACCAGGAAGACACAACCTTGAAGAAAACAGAATCATATAAGTACATCATGTTTCATAGAGCCAAACATTTCAAGTGCTACTCAACTGGCTTTAGGTAAGCCAGTCCTTTGTTAGTATAAAAGTGCTTCGTTAATAGTTCTAACGCTCGAAGTGGAGTCGAAAGAGATGAGTTTTCAGTCTGCGCCGGAAGATGTGCAAGCTATCTGCCGTCCTGATGTCAATGGGGAGCTCATTCCACCATCTTGGAGCCAGGACAGCAAACCCACGTGTTTTCGCCGATGGGAACTTGGGTCCCCCCTCGCAGCGAGGGCGCAGCGAGTCGTTTGGCTGATGCAGAGCGTAGTGCACACGCTGGGGTGTACGGTTTAACCATGTCCTGGATGTAGGAAGGGCCAGATCCATTCGCAGCATGGTAAGCAAGTACCAGTGTCTTGAAGTGGATTCTAGCAGTTACCGGAAGCCAGTGAAGGGAGCGGAGGAGCGGAGTGGTGTGGGAGAATTTAGGAAGGTTGAAGACCAGACGAGCCGCTGCATTCTGGATGAGCTGCAGAGGTCGGATGGCACATGCAGGTAGACCAGCCAGGAGGGAGTTGCAGTAGTCTAGGCGTGAGATGACGAGAGCCTGGACCAGAACTTGAGTCTCTTTCTGAGTCAGCTGGGGACGTATCTTCCTGATGTTGTAAAGCGTGTATCTGCAGCAACGGGTTGTAGCAGCGATGTTTGCAGTGAAGGACAGGTTGTTATCTAGGGTCACACCCAGATTCCTTGCAGTCTGAGTCGGGGAAACAACTGAGGTGCCGATGTTGATTGTCAGGTCAAGAGTTGGACAATCTTTTCCCGGAAGGAAGAGCAGCTCAGTCTTGTCAAGGTTGAGCTTGAGGTGGTGAGCAGACATCCACTGAGAGATGTCAGCTAGACAAGCAGAGATGCGTGCGACGACCTGGGTCTCTGAGCGGGGAAAGGACAGAATTAATTGGGTGTCGTCAGCGTAGCAGTGGTATGAAAAACCATGCGGGCTAATGACTGATCCGAGCGAGTTTGTGTACAGGGAGAAGAGGAGGGGACCAAGAACAGAGCCCTGAGGGACCCCCGTAGTTAATTGACAAGGGTCGGACTCAGACCCTCTCCAAGTCACCCTGTAGAATATAGCTCTTGTCACTCTTTCTCAGAGACACACACACACACACACACACACACACACACACACACACACACACACACACACACACACACACACACACACACACACACACACACACACACACACACACACACACACACACACACACACACACACACACACACACACACCACACACACACACACACACACACACACACACACACTAGGGCTGCTCGATTATGGCAATAATCAAGATTATGTTGGTCAATAATTAATATCACGATTATTAAATATGATTATTCATTCACTTTGAAAACATCCATTTATTGAACTTTAAAACAAATAATAATTTGAACAGTATCTTTTTAACTGTTGATTACCCTGAACGTATAATTCAACTGAAAAACCAATACAAAAATTAATTAAATAAATGATACATTACTAACAAATTAATTAGATCAAATATGTTGTGGTGCACTGTCACAACCTAGCAAAGCAAAATAATCGTTTTTTCCGATTATGTTGTTTTCGTAATTGTGGCAGGCCAAAATCGTAATTGCGATTAAAATATGATTAATTGCACAGCCCTAACACACACACACACACACACACACACACACACACACACACACACACACACATACAAACACACACACCACACACACACACACACACACACTCAAGCACACACACTCAAGCACACACAGACGCACACACATACACACTTTTTGTCTAACACGCTAACACAGTTCTGTACTGTTACGCTGTTGTGTTCAGTCATTGTTCTTATGTTGAACATGAATACATTTACTTTGTAAGTGATTATGGGACGTATTTCTTCTTTATATACATTTTCCTTCATACTTTATTGCCGTGAAATAGGTCTTAAATTCTATTCAAAGTGGTCTTAAAAAGGTGTTAAAAAGTCTTACATTTGAGTTGGCGAAACCTGCAGGAACCCTGTACAATAAAAAGTCCTATATTCAAAATGTTACAAGTAAAAGTAGAAAAGTATTAGCATCAAAATATACTTAAAGTACCACCTGCAGAGGGATCTAGATGCAGGTGTTCTTTTCCCCATAGAGACTGCCTCGCTGCACATTATCCCTTGCATAAAGATAGATTGTGGGTCCCTTATAACATGTTGTACACAGTGGAAATAAACATTCTGGTTACCTCAACATCAGGGATCTTATCCATTAAACTCCTTCTGAATCAAACCGTCACGGTAGCCTTACCTTACTGATCCCTCTTAAATTAGAAAAACACACGTTACTTTACCAGCAGAGAGAAAATGTGATTAATATTAATGTGACTAATAAAGATTAATTTGATTATTAAGTATTAATCTGTTGATCGATGTCATTACATTTGATGAAAAACACATAAAGACTTGTTTATGACTCGTTTTGTCAAAGTTTAGGACTTGGACTTGACTTGAACTTGCCCATCCTGACTTGAGACTTGACTTGTACTTGCAAAACAATGAATTGAGACTTGACTCGGACTTGAGCGCAAAGACTTGAGACTTGACTCTGACTTGCAAAACAATGACTTGGTCCCACCTCTGGAATGAGGTATAGTGTATTCCGGTTCCAAGGCCTAATCTTTACCTTAAATGGGCGGCAGTGGCTCAGTCTCTTAGCTTTGGGACAGAAGGGTCGCCGGTTCACTTCCTGCACAAGTTCCCATGAGCAAGCCACTAAATGAGTTACAACATTTAACTGACATTCTTGAGTTTAATTACATAAAGTTTTGTTAATACATTTTGGAATTATTATTCTGTTCTCAGCTACAGTAACAATATTTTTTACCGCTTATTTTTGGGTTTTTCAATTTTCCAAAAATATATTTCTCCCGTTATTTTGGTCGGATTTGTAATTACTGGAATTAGTTATAAGTTACCATATTAAAAAAACTTCAGGAAAAAGTCAACTTTCTTCTTACAGAGACACAGAAAGCAGACTACGTAGCAGAATAAATAAAAGTAAGACTGTTGACAGCTATTTAAAAAAGGATCTATTATAACAAACAATGTGTATTGTGGGCTGGATAACAGTCAGGCCGGTATCAGAAGGGATCAACACATACAAATGAAAGCTTTAGCGCAAGTTCAATAAGGAAGACCTAACTCGAGTCACTCACACGTCACTCTATGGCTCCCTTCCCCCCTCATTAAATATGAGGGCGTCACGCCTCAGCAGCCAATCGCTGCACATGCTAAATGCCTTAAATACCTGCTCTTCCTCCCTGTCAGTTGTCATTGCAGATGATCACACGCAGTAGCAGTACTTCTTTACTCTTTCTCGTGAGAAAAAAAAAAAAAAACCCAAAACAAAACCTAGCTCAAGATGTCCAACTCGGACAATTCAGACGAACCTGGTATGGAAATCTTTGATCCCGGTTCGACTCTCCACAGCGGCCTATCACCAGAGGCAGACTTCCTCATCGCCCGACTCCGGCAGCAGGGCATCCCCACAGCCCCAGGCCTCACTCTCTCGCAACTTCGAGAGCTCTCGGATCAGGTCTCCAGCTCAGCTCCCCAGCCCGAGGCAGCAGCCCCAAGCAGCTCCCCAGAGAGACCAGGGCGAGGACGCGGCCGCAGCCGCGGAGGAAAAAAACGCAGGAAATCGAGCCCTCCAGGACCCCGTCCGCCTCCCAAATCCACCCCTTCTCAGGCTCACCAGGCCGGGAGCGGGGAAAGTAGCGTGGTCGGCGCCCTGCAATCCCTCAATAGCTCCATAAGAGCCATCGATGCTCGCCTCCAGGCCCTGGAAGACTCCGGCACAGGAGCGTCAACTTCCGCCGCATTCAGAGCAGCGCTCGCTGCCTCAGTCCCGCTGGGGTTGCCAGGTCAGGGTTTTCCACGCATCCCAGTGGCAGCTCCTCCTCACTCTCTGGCTTCAGCCCTCCCAGCCCCCCCTGCAGGTAGGCCTTTTATTTCTCAAGCCGCTAATATCTCCTCACGGCTTAGGTCGAAAATTCTTGAAGGGAAGGATGTTAACTTGCTTAGCCTTATCCTGCCCTCCCCAGAGTGCGATAAAGCCATCGCCACAGGAGGAGACATCACCGCCGTCTTTAAAACCGCAGACCCCAGGCTTATCAGAGATATCAGCATAGGGCAATTCATGGTAGCTTTCGGCATCTTCCGTGACGTCATCTGCTCTGTCTACCCTGAGAGAAGAGCAGAATTAGATACGTACATGGCCATCATCGGGGACATCAACCTTAGATACGGGAGATCCATCTTCTATCAGTACCATAAAAGCTTTTCTAGTAAAGCAGCGCTTCACCTAGCGCATAGCAATATCCGCCTCGACTGGTCAGTGATGGACATCGAGCTGCCGTGATGGCTACCGGCGGGCAAACCGCTATTTCTTGCAACAGCTGCGGAGCACAAGGCCACATCGCTGTCCTCTGCCCCTCAGTGCCTTTCTCCGCGCCCAGAGCCTCCCACACGCAGTATACTGGATATGATAGAACAAACCGTCAGGTGCAAATGAGACACGAAGACAAAATCTGCGCTAGATTCAATGAAAATGTCTGTACTCAACCTTATTGTTCATTTCTCCATATCTGCAGTTCCTGCAGGGATGCACACCCGAAGTCCGTGTGCCCCAGGCGCAGCCAAAACCTCTCAGTAGCTCTGCGCCAGAAACCTCGTGGTGGAAAAACATTCTAAAACATCACCCCTCCACTCCCATTAACATCCCTCAGCTAGCAGCTGCGCTATCCAACCACCCAGATTCCGTTTTCGTGGACTATCTCCTGTCAGGGCTCTCCCAAGGCTTCAGGGTAGGGGTCCTCTCATCTCCCACAGTTACTTTCGTAGCAAAAAACCTACAGTCAGCCGCTAAAGAACCCAACATAGTTTCCCAGCTCATCGACAAAGAACTCCACAAAGGATACATAATCGGCCCCTTTAGCTCCTCCCCCTTCCCAGTGTTCCGTTCAAATCCCATAGGAATAGCCACACGCAAATACTCTGGAAAAAAAAGGCTGATTTTCGATCTGTCCGCTCCCCGTTCCGGCACATTTTGCAGCGTCAATAGTATCATCCCTCCAGAGCAGTTTTCCCTTCACTATGCCTCAGTGGACAATGCAATCAAATTGATTAAGTTCACAGGGCACGGAGCGTGGCTCTCCAAAGCGGACATTACCGATGCCTTAAAAATCATTCCCATTCATCCGTCTCAGTGGAACTTGTTCGGCATTAAGTGGGAGTCCAAATTCTATTTCGCCGTTCGCCTGACCTTCGGGTGCAGAAGCAGCCCCTGCATCTTCAACTCCTTCTCGGAAGCGCTCTGCTGGATCCTGCTGAACATCGTCAGAATCCCCTCCGTCCTTCACCTACTGGACGACTTCCTCCTCATAGACCCGCCACAGGACAGCTCAGGGACCTCACTGAGCAAACTGAAACACTGCTTTCAGGAGCTAGGCGTCCCCCTCTCCAATGAAAAAACGTTAGGTCCCAACACATGCTTAGAGTTCTTAGGCATCACCCTTGACTCCATAGACATGAAGGCGTCTCTCCCCTCCGACAAATTGCAGCGCATTCGGGACATCACCAAATCATACTGCGAGCAACAAATCATTACAAAACAACAGCTGCTCTCCCTTCTAGGACACCTCAACTTCGCCATGCGAGTCATCCCCCAGGGGCGCTCGTTCATCTCCCGCCTCCTGGACACAGCATCAGCGGTCGACAATCTCCATGACCGCGTCCTCTTAGACGAAGGCTGCCGCTCAGACCTACGTTTCTGGTCTTTCCTGCTCGCCCACTGGAACGGAGTCACTTTCTTCTATGACGACCTTGTGTGTTCCTCCGATTCAATGAGGTTCTTCACGGATGCCGCCCCATCCGTGGGTTTTGGGGGCTTCTTTCAGGGCGAGTGGTTCGCAGGGTCTTGGCCCCCGTCATTCCCTAATCATGCCTCATCCTCCGCTCTGCACGAGATATTTCCGATCGCCGTTGCATGCCACGTATGGGGTCACCAGTGGTTCCGTAAACGCATCTCGGTGCTGTGCGATAACCAATCAGTGGTCGAAATCATCAATAAAGCGCGCTCCCAGTGTAGCGACATCATGCCATTCATGAGAAGCATCACGCGGTCCTCCATTATCCACAACTTCATCATCACAGCTCGTCACATTCCCGGTCACCTCATGTCATCGCTGACTCCCTCTCTCGCTTTCATTTCCAGACATTCCGGAGCCTCTGCCCGGAAGCCAGCTCGCAACCAGTCGGAATCCCTCCACTTCATCTCCTCTCTCTGCACTAACCGAGAGTCCCCTAGCTCGGCACCTTGAGTCGGCCAGATTCTTCATGAGAAAGGGCTTAGCCGCTTCCACCCTCAGATCCTATGATTTCGCATGGAGAACGTTCGCTTTTTTCTGCCGCTCAGTAGATGTCCCCCTCAAACCTGTCCTCATCTCCACCGTGTGCGCCTTTATGGGCTACTTGCACCACCGATCGACACCTCAAACCCCTGTATATCCGGAGCCTCCTAGCAGGAATTCAATTCAACGTTCGATGCTCTGATCCTAGCTTTCCCAGCCTACTCTCCAACCCTACCGTTAAACTCATCCTTAAAGGGCTGTACAAGACGTTTCCCCCCGCTGCAGACCCGAGGCTCCCCATCACGCTCCCTGTCCTGCGTCTCATGCTGTCCAACACTCAGGAAAGGATTCTCTATTCTCCTCCCCCTATCTCGACGCACTGCTCGATGCCGTATTCCTACTTGCCTCTATAGGCGCTCCTCCGACCCGGCGAATTTACCACAAGCTTCCCTCACGTTCGACCCCAGCCAAGACGTCTGCCTCTCCGACCTAGTCTTCAACACCAACCACTTTAGTCTCAGCCTCAAACACTCAAAATGCGGGGGAGCCTGCTCAGTCATCGCGGCTCGCATCAATTCCCGTTCTGCCCTTTTAAATTCCATGATTAAATTCCTGCGCTGCAGACCCCCCACCAATCCGTCCTCACCACTTTTTCTCATCAAAGGAAATGCCCCCCTAACGCTGCGACTGTTCACTTTCTACCTCAAGCAAGTCCTCACTAAGTCCGGCATATCACCTACATCCTACTCAGGACATTCCTTTAGGATAGGTGCAGCCACCTCGGCTGCTAATCAAGGTCTCTCCACCTCATCCCTTCAACAATTAGGACGGTGGTCCTCCTCCGCCTTCGCAACCTACATTCGCCCGGACATCAGCACCGTACTGGCTTCCCAAAGATCTCTCGGACCCTAATTATGGTATTTATGCATATAACTGGTTGTGGCTCATAAACACATTCATAAGTATACATGTCTAACTAAGGTACCTGATATTCAAACTGCATTCCTGTCCTAGTCCGCGGGCCCCGCCCACAGGGAATAACTTCTCGTCTCACGCGCACCTCCACGTAACGGGCTCCATCTCCCGGACACAGGTATCCAAATCCCAGGCTCTCGCTCAAACGTGTCAGTGTAAAGATATATCCTATGAAGTCAGGCGTGGCGGAAGGCCACCGTACACCTCGGTGTCAGCTACAAAACAAAGGAAAGAGAAAGAAAAGATATATATATATATATAGCCTGCGAAGTCAGGCGTGGCGGAAGGCCACCGTACACTTCGGTGTCAGTTACAAAACAAAGGAAAGAAAAAGATATATATATATATATATATATATAGCCTGCGAAGTCAGGCATGGCGGAAGGCCACCGTACACTTCGGTGTCGTAGCGGAAGGCTACCGTACACTTCGGTGTCAGTTACAAAACAAAGAGTAAAGAAAAAAAGATACATATATATATATATATATAACCTGCGAAGTCAGGCGTGGCGGAAGGCCACCGTACACTTCGGTGTCAGTTACAAAACAAAGGAAAAAGAAATAAAGAAAAACATATATATATATATATATATAGCCTGAGAAGTCAGGCGTGGCGGAAGGCCACCGTACACTTCGGTGTCGTAGCGGAAGGCTACCGTACACTTCGGTGTCAGTTACAAAAAACAAAGGAAAGAGTAAAGAAAGATATATATATATATATATATATATAACCTGCGAAGTCAGGCGTGGCGGAAGGCCACCGTACACTTCGGTGTCAGTTACAAAACAAAGGAAAAAGAATAAAGAGAAATATATATATATATATATATATAGCCTGCGAAGTCAGGCGTGGCGGAAGGCCACCGTACACTTCGGTGTCGTAGCGGAAGGCTACCGTACACTTCGGTGTCGTGGACGTTGGGCCACCGTTACAAAACGAAACCGCTCGCTCCTCGGCGTAGTCAAGCCCTGCTGGCCAGGCATGCGACCCGCAGGTCGTTTTCAGATAAGACCGGCACTGATTTCGGCAGTCAGAGTCTCAGCATGACCAGTAAGCTCCGGCAGTGATTCCGGCACAGTGTCGCTCATATACGTGTTAATCTATTATCTCTCCTCCCCAGATCACCAGTCACCCACAAGGTAAGCAACTCAGTTCATCTCAGTATTCATACTTCACTGGTTTTGGGGATTTCATCGGAGCGGTGCTTTCCCCTCCTGAATGATTATCCTGCAAACCGGGGGCCTAATCGCCAAACACCATTACATTCTCCTGTTGTACTATCATGGCAATCATTTCATTCATATGACGTGTAAACAATAAATATGTAATTCTTACATCACGTCTCTCCGGGTTGAAATGAAAGCTTTAGCGCAAGTTCAATAAGGAAGACCTAACTCGAGTCACTCACACGTCACTCTATGGCTCCCTTCCCCCCTCATTAAAATATGAGGGCGTCACGCCTCAGCAGCCAATCGCTGCACATGCTAAATGCCTTAAAATACCTGCTCTTCCTCCCTGTCAGTTGTCATTGCAGATGATCACACGCAACCCGCCTCCACCCCTCTCGCCTCCGTCAGGACAAAGCTAAACCTTCCTCCTTCAGACCGGTCTCACCTACTCATCACCACCACCAGTGTCTAGACCCCGGGGATTTCATCGGAGCGGTGCTTTCCCTCCTGAATGATTATCCTGCAAACCGGGGGCCTAATCGCCAAACACCATTACATTCTCCTGTTGTACTATCATGGCAATCATTTCATTCATATGACGTGTAAACAATAAATATGTAATTCTTACATCACGTCTCTCCGGGTTGAACATAAATAAACACTGTGTTTACTTTTGTGCTTTCTTGCTTTCAAAGCTTCTTTATTATAATCTCCTTAATACCGTACATTTCTCCTAAACTCACCAAAAGTCAGCATCACATAAAGCCTCATTTGCATATGTAAACATAACTAATAATATAAATTATACAGAATTTAGTTTTTAAAGGTTTGTAATGTGATGTTGTGTAAAATACATATATTTTGATCAACACCTTCCTTCTGATTGGTCGAGGACTCCCTGCTCCAGAGCTTATTAAGTGTCTCTATAACCCAGATTAGTTTGCATGTAGTGATTGGTTGTCCAAACCAATTAAAGGTTCAGCTATTATTGAGATAATTAATGAGTTTAAGGTATTTTCTGGATATAAAGGCCAATAATGTAAAATCCTTAAAGTTACCACGATTTATAATGTTCAGATTTAGCACACGTTCATTTCCATTATTTCTTCTTTTCTATAATGACATGAAAACAAATTATTTAGATCCAGTGGTGAATAATACTGTGATTTCTAATAAGATATACCCTTAAAACCCTCTTTTAATCTTTAATTAAACAACAAAAGCACATAACACACTCAATGTGAACTCAACAGTCTTTTATTATGGTACACTATTAATCACTTGATGTTTGTCTTTACACATTAACACATTAATTTGTGTTCCAACCTTTTCATATTTGATTTAAAAATGCATTACATATAAAGATTTGAACGTTTCGATTGTTATAGCAATCAAAGAACAAATCAGAGATCTTGGTTCTGGACAATGTGTGACATTTGTTTAGTATTTGTTCAAACCACGCAAACCTAGAAATAACTGATATAACTATAAATCACACCAAACAAATACATCAGAAAGGGGACTGAAGATGAGCAAGGAGGTTTGGTAAATCTGCTGCTGTCCAGCCTCAGAAGGTCAGACTCTCTCATGCTAAACATCTCAGTTGATAGGTATTATCTAAAAAAGGAATCTATAAAATTGTACATTCAGCTTCCTCTCTGGCCTTCCATCCCGCCTCTTCTCTTATTATCCAACTCTCCCCCTCCATTTCTCTTTCACTAGCTTCTTTTAGATTTTGCATCCTCTCCATGTCATCTTTGGCTTCATTTAATTGTTTCTCATACTTTTTTGCCATTTCCTCTTCCTGTTTGCGTATTTCGTCTTCTTTCTGTTTAAGGATTCTCTGTTTCTCCTCTTCTATGGCCCTCTCTGCCTTCTGGAACATTTCAGTGGTGTAATGGCTTCCTCCGTTCTTCACTGCTATATTTCTGATCTTGTCGAGCAGCTCTCTGACCTGAGAACGATCCTCCTCCTCATTATTGAAGACGTGGTACTGCCCTTTACATCTGGCCACCAGTTCCCGCAGCTCTTCACTTTGCTCCAATAACTCTTCGATAGGTTTCCCTTTGAGCAGATCACCGTGGGTAAAGAGAACCATGCTGTATCTGTCGGCTTCCTTTCCAAAGATTTCCTGAATCTTCTGCACTGTCTGCTTTTCTTCCTCTGTGAATCTGCCCACTTTGATGACGATCAGGAAGACATGGGGTCCAGGAGAAGCAAATGAAATGCTCTTACAAATGTTCTTTCTGGTCGTCTTTTCATCAATCTTGGTGTCAAACAGACCAGGAGTGTCAATAACAGCAACTTTTTGTCCATCAACTTCACCACAGACCTTTTCACAGTTTACAGTCAAGGATTTAAAAGAGAACTCTGATTTAAAGAACTCTTTTCCCAGAATGGTGTTTCCTGTGGTGCTCTTCCCAGCTCCGGTCTTCCCCACCATCACAATCCGGAGTACATCGTTATTGTATGTGTTTGATTGGCAGGCTGAAAAAAAAGAAGAATGAAGAAATATTTAGAAATCTCGGTATTTATAAAATGGTTCAACTACCAAATGAACAATGTTGACAGAGAGGGGAGTGGGATCAAGACAACCTGATCTCACCAGAATGCACCACGACTCCTTAACACCGCATTGCGTGGTGGAGTCACAAACTCTGCTACAGTTACGTGTCGGCACCACGCAAACAACCCCAATGTAAAGTGAATGAGGCTCCTTTGTCGTGGTGCACACACACATTTCTACAACGTCCTGCAGTGAGCTTTTATTCTATAAAACGTTTTTAAAATCTACTTTATAGCTTGTAGTAACTCACGGGAGGCTT